GGAGCATCCCAGGGTCCCCAACTTGGCCAGCTTAGGAATGAAATGATGTGCTCCAGACCCCCAGAGGTGCTGCCTTCCCCTGCCACAGTCAAGTTCTGTGATCCCCGTTCTTTCAGCCTTCAGTACAGGAAGATAGATTTGTAGAGTTTCTTTCATGCCCCCAGGACACAGCAGTGGGCCTCATTCCCCATGCAGTCTCCAAGAAATTGACGGGTGAGCTGGCCTCAGTGGGCCATGTGGTATATGGAGGGAGCAGAGGCCCAGACAGACCATGATTTTCATCTTGGTCCTGTCCCATTCCAGGCCTTGAGAAAGTTACCTAACTTCTCTGATTCTCCAACTACTTGCCTATAAAATAGGGACCCTGGTAGGATTATGAGGACTAAACTGAGGCTGTGTAGGGAAAATACCTGGCAATTCACCTGGCATATAGGTGGTGCCCAATGAGTATTAAATCCTTTACCTCCCAGCCCAGTGGTCCCATCATGCTTTTCCAGACTTGCCACAGCCTGAGCAAGAGCATCCCAGAGACGGGAGTGAGCAACATTCATTCATTCAAGAAACATTTACACAAAGTGCCTGTGTGCCTAGCACCCTAGAATATCAACTTCACTTAAAGATTTTTAAAAATATTACTTTAATATTAAGACAAATATCAGGGAGAAGAATGCAAAATTTGCATTAACTTTAAAGAAAAATGTGAGTTATTTGGCCCATGCCCCAGGCTTCCTAGGAATCCCATATAGGGCAGCTTGAAGGTGCTAAGTTACCCAAGAACTTGACCTCAGGTCCAAGTCACACAGATCTTCAAATTTTCCTGCAGTGAGTCATGAACCAGAAGTGACGTGGTCCCTCCCTAGAAAATCAGGGTGGAAAAGAATGGGTCCAGAGAAAACCAGCCAATTACACCGTAAGCCCTCACTGTGTTCACAGTTCCCAGAGCCTTGCTTACACAGCCTGTCTTTCTGAGAGTCATCCTTGGGCCAACTCTTCCGAGATTATCTCAACTTCAGTTCTTCAGTATCTTTGGAAAACATACTCCCATTTCTAGGAAAATATCATGAAATTTGCTGTATGTCAAATCCGGGATGTTCAGCCAGGTCAAAGTTGTTTTCCTGGGCTTCTCTGGTGGCGCAGTGGTTGAGAGTCCGCCTGCCGATGCAGGGGACATGGGTTCGTGCCCCGGTCCGGGAAGATCCCACATGCCACGGAGCGGCTGGGCCCGTGAGCCATGGCCGCTGAGCCTGCGCATCTGGAGCCTGTGCTCCGCAACGGGAGAGGCTGCAACAGTGAAAAGCCCGCATACAGCAAAAAAAACAAAGTTGTTTTTCTCACTTACTTCCCAGTCTAGCCTCCTGCACTTCTAGGGTCACCCTCCAAGGTCAGATTCTGGGATGTAAACTGGAGGTGACTCCATCCATTTACCTTCGCTCCCTGTGCCTTGCTAGACTCAGATCTGTGGGCTCCTCTTAGCACAGGTCGACCTGGGCTGGAAACCAGATCTCCCACGTTCACCTTCTCATCACAAAAATGTAGCTCCTTCACTGAATCAATCACCATGTCAGATGTCAGCTAATTTCATATTCGATATAAACAGAAAAATAATAGCCATAACCATCTCTGAATGGTGAGAATATAAGTGGTTTCTAATTTCATCACTTTGCTTACCTGTATTTTCTCATTTTCAACAATGAGATGTATTTTTTGTGTACAGAGAATGAGAAGAAAATGTAGAGACTAACATTCCTCTCACTTAGTTGTTTCCTGGTAGATTTACATTCTGAATTCAAGCTCAAAATTCAAAGCAGAAAGTCACAGAATGTTTTTCCATAGAGGAGACTAGAAATCCGGTAACTCCTCCTTGCTCTTCTCCAAGCTGAACCAAATTCCAGTTTATACTTAGGTTTACCAGATCAAAGGAAATTGTTTTTGAGGCAGGATTACTTATCAAATGTACTTTACATATGGTTATGAATCAAAATCACAACAAAATCAGAAAAACTACTGGTGAGGTAATGCAAAGCCATGGGCTGGGGAGATCACATTATTCTCCAAAACAACTTAGTAACCTAAGGAGGTGACACTGGATGTGGAACTGTAGTAGTCATTCGTTCAACAAATATTTGTATATTCACTGTGTTCCAGGCACCATTCTAGGCACTGGGGATACAGCAGTAAACAAAACTAGCAAAAATCCCTGCCCTCAGGAAGCCTGTATTCCAGTCAAGGAGACAGAAGCAACAAAAACCTTAGCATAGTATTAATACTGTTTCTGCTGTTTTGACTGTTTTTCTGACATTTTTCTCAGTGATGGAGAACTTTCTCCCAAGTCCCTTCTACAGCCAGTGGCTAGGTTGACTATTTCTTGACACAACCCATTCAGGAGTGGGACAGACTGGATCCTAGTACCTTTAGAGTCAAGGTAACTAGAGAATTAGAGAGCTACCCAGCCATGATCTTCCTGCAGTGATTGTCCTAAGGACTTAGCTGATACAAAATGGTTCAGATATTCCCAGAGGAAGAAGATGAAGCACCCCAACCATGAATGGAGTAGAGAACTGAGCCAGAACACTGGGAGACCAGGAGCTGCCACAGTGGGCCACTGGGATAAGCAGAAACAGGAATAAGACTGACTTAGGGAGAAAATTTTAGCTCCATGTAAGAGAAAACACTTCAACAGACAGAGCTGCCCCACAGTGGAATGGGCTGAAGGAAAGGCAATTCTCAGGCTCTGCTGGTGAATGACAAGCTCAGCTCTGCTACTTATTGACTGTGTGACCTTGAGCTAGTCCCGTAACCTCTATGGGTCTCAGTTTCCTTATCTGTAAAATGGGAATTATAATGGTACTTAGTTCATGGAATTGTGGTGAAGATTTAATAAGAGGAAGCATGTACAGTGCCAGGGTACTACCTGACACAAAGTAACTTAGACATTGAAAGGCAGGACCATGGTCCAGGCCCAATACATGACCTCTGGCTGATTTGGACACATCAAGATCTCGGTCCTCCCTGGAGGTGCACCAGGGTACTGGGCAAAGGCAGGGATCAGGCCAGTAATAGTGTTCAGTGTTCAGGGAATGCCCTAAGGCAGAAGCACCACCCCCGCATATACACGTTGAGCCAGGCTGATTTGGGAGTGATCTGGGGTTCAAAATAGGAAGTCCCCAGAGAGGCTGTACTCAACATCACAAAGCTCCTAAGGGCCCATTAATGACCACAGCAGCAGTGCCAGCCTCAGTCCCACTCTGGGTCATCCAGGGCTGATGGACTCAGATGGCAGCCTGTGACGCAGGACTCTAGAGGCACAGCCAGGCAGGGCTGGAGAGCTCCAAGCCACAGCCCAGTGGGACAAAGGGCAGCCTGAAGGCAGCCCAAGATGGAATCCCAACCTACTCATAAACCCTCCTGTGGTTCCAGGTGGGGGGCATATTCAGACAGGTTTCCTCTTGCACCCCAGTGAGGATACCCCAGGGGCAACTGCACAGCCACAGGTGACCTGCTTTATAGCCTAGCCCCACCTCCTGGCCCTGGCTTTTGGTAATGGCCCAAGGGTAGGAGAGGGCAAGTAGCCAGTCCGCTTGTGTATGCCCAGCAGGCCCTCTGGCAACTGCCATCTCCATTCCAACGGCCTTGGGGTCAGCGGTCAGCCTTTAATTGTTGAGCCAGTGTCTAGCCCACAAGTTCCTGCCATCACACCCTCCCACCAGCCAGCTTTCCAGGCATGTCTAAACCTGTCTGAATTCTCAGCAGGTAAAGAGCTCAGGCGAACCTCCCCCCATTCCCCTCATGTCCACTACTTAAGTATCAAAATCCCAAACAATAATATCTTGTATATGTGTGGTGCTTAGCATTTTTCAATGCACTTTTCATAACCTTATATAGCTCACAAAATCTCCAGGAGAGTTGAGACTCAGACTTGGAAGCACAGAGTCAGGAACAATGCCCCAAACCCTAACTCAGCAATGGTTTAAGGAGACATCATCATGACTACAGAGTCTAGCATACTGTCCCTGCTACCTACACCACAGACACCCTTATGCTCGATGGTGCCCGTAAAACTGCTGTCACTGGAAACTGAGATTGCACCCATCAAGTCACTAAAAGGGTTGTAAAGCAGACTCTGCTCCTTTGCTGTCACTGGCTTCCAATTCAAAACTGGTGAGGGGTGGCATGGGGATGGGGGGCTTGTCTGACTGGAGAAGCCTGAGCCTGAGGCCGATGCCCAGGCCTTAGCTGCAAAAGAAAATGGCTCCACCTCATGATGCGTGGAATTCCTCAAGCACAGGAAGGAGGCTCAGCTGCCAGGCAACCAAAATGAGTGAAAAATGTCCAACTCTGCAACTCATTCAATCATCACACCAACACATGAAGTTGTCAGAATGACTCTCATTATCCCCATTTTAGATGGCAGGAGTCGACCAGGGCAGCTTCTCTACCAACACATTGAAATACAACAGGGAGAAAAGAAAAGTCTTGCTTTCAGGTTTAAAAAGGTCAACTGCAGGGGCTTCCCTGGTGGCTCAGTGGTTGAGAGTCTGCCTGCTAATACAGGGGACACGGGTTTGAGCTCTGGTCTGGGAGGATCCCACATGCCGCGGAGCAACTGGGCTTGTGAGCCACAACTACTGGGCCTGCGCGTCTGGAGCCTGTGCTCCGCAACAAGAAAGGCCGCGATAGTGAGAGGCCCACGCACAGCAATGAAGAGTGGCCCCCGCTTGCCACAACTAGAGATAGCCCTCGCACAGAAACGAAGATGCAACACAGCAAAAATTAATTAATTAATTAATAAACTCCTACCCCCAACATCTAAAAAAAAAAAACATCAACTGCAGAAGCGTGGGATAAGAAGAACTAGTTTTGGCTTCAGGTCATGTAAAGAAGGTCTTAGAATCTCAGCTGACCTTGAGGTTCATATGAACCCAGCTAAAGAGGCTGCTGACACAGCCACTGCAGACTTGTGAGTGGGACAGCGTCTTGGCCTCTGGGCCTGCCAGACTTACCTGGGGTTGACCACTCTAGTCTGGTCACATATTTGCAGAGATGGGCAGCCAAGGTAGGGAGGTTTTGTAACATCTGGTGCGTGGACTCTGTTGCTTCAGAGGGCAGAAATGGGGCCACACAGGAGCCACAGGGACTGCATGCCAGGTCAACACCTGTAGAACAGGGCAAAAACAAGACAGGTTTCCTTGTGAGGTGGTGAGGTCCCCATTGCCAGGGGTATACAAACAGAGGCTGGAAAGCCATCTATCAGAAATTTTAGTTGAACTGGATGATGAATACAGTCCCTTCCAACTCTAAGATACTATAAGCCAACAATGTGTGTAAACATTGGGCACAATCTACAATCACCCTCCAAGAGCCTCCTAGGGACCCACTGAACTAAACAATGACAAAAGAAGAAAACCAGAAATATGCACTCTTACTAGACATCAATTATGTGCAAAAATAAAAGGAAAGGTCATTTTATATGTTACATGAGTCAAAACTGAAAAGTAATGTCCAGTACTGGAGAGGTTGTGATAAAGCTGGAACATTCGTACTGGCGATTGGGTAAAATGGGAACCACCACTTTTTGAAATCAATGTGGCAGATGATATCAAAAAACCAACAGTGGGACTTCCCTGGCGGTCCAGTGGTTAAGACTTCGCCTTCCAATGCAGGGGGTGCAGGTTCGATCCCTGGTCAGGGAACTAAGACCCCACATGCCCCAGGGCCAAGAAACCAAAACATAAAGCAGAAGCAATATTGTAACAAATTCAATAAAGACTTTAAAAATGGTCCACATCAAAAAAAAAAAATCTTAAAGAAACCAAAAGCATATTTAATCCTTTACCTCAATAACTGTTCACTCGGGAATCTACCTTAAAGAATAATTTGTAAAGGGTAATTGGTATATATTTGGAGATATTCATTACATCATTATTAATAATAAACAAAAAGTCTCAAATAGGAGAGCGGTTAAGTATAGTATGGTGTTTGATGGAATATTAGGCAATCATTACAGATGGTGTTTATAAAGAATCTCTGTTCCTCGAGGGCAAGTCCTGCATCCTATTTACTACTGTAGTCCCAGCACCGTCTGGAACATAGAAAAGCCTCATTAACTATTTGTTGAATGAATGAGAGAATGAACAATTGAGAAAAGAATTCAATCTTAGCAAGGGAAAATGCTTATTACATGTTGAAAAAAACAAGCAGAACTCAAAATTATACTTAATCTATGATTTCCAGAATATGAAGTATTAAATACATGTGTCCTACATGTGGACTACATGGAAAAATAAAAACAGATGTTAGGATCACGTACTAGGGATGATAATGTTATTCTTATTCATTCACCATGTTTTTCTGAGTACCTGTTATGTACCAGGTGCTGCGCCATGTGCTGTGAGTAGAGCAGTAAACAAAATAGACACAGTCTCTACCCTAAGGGAGAGTTCATTCTAGTGGGTTAATGGAGGAGTGAGAGTGGGGAAGAGACAGACAATAAACGGATAAGTAAAAGAACGTATAATACGTCAGGTGGTAGTAAGTGCTATCAGAGAAAAAAAGCAGGAAGCAGGGATAGAGAGTGCCAGGAGAGGAAAGGCTGCCATTTTATATGGGATGTCCATGAGGATATCTAGGGAAGATCTTTCAAGCAGCGGGAACAGCAAGTGCAAAGGCCCTGAGGCCAAAGTGTACTTGATGCAATCAAGGAATAACATGGAGGTCAATGAGCTGAGCAGCAGGAGCCTGGGAGATGAGGCAGAGAAGCTACAGGAGTCAGAGTGTATATGGCCCTGCAAGCCATCATAAAGACTGAAAGGCTTGCTCTCAAAGAAACAAAGAAGCCACTGGAGGCATTTTTACAGAGGTGTGACATGATCTGACTTATGTTTAAAAGGAATCACTCCTTTTATAAGAATATTTTATGAAAGTTTAAGATGAAAGGAAGAATTTTAAACAATGGACAGATTATCATAACATTCATGAGTTGATTCACAGAATATTTTCTGAGCACTCCCTGCTTTAAGGGGCTGGAATAGCAGGTCTGTTTCAAGATTACAAAGACATATCAACATATCAACAATACAAAAGTTTTTGGTTTTTTTTTTTGGCCACGCTGCGCGGGATCTTAGTTCCCAGGCCAGGGATTGAACCCAGTGAAAGCACCGAGTCCTAACCACTGGACCGCCAGGGAATTACCCCCATACAAAAGTATTTTTAAATACCACTGCTTTAAAAAAAGACAGAGATTGTCCAGAGCAATTAACTGATTTTGTCCTTTTCTCTTTAGAGATTACGGAGGTAATTTTGCTCAACTAACATTTAGATGCGCATTTCATATTCTTTTTTTTTTTTTTTTTTTTGCGGTACGCGGGCCTCTCACTGTTGTGGCCTCCCCCGTTGCGGAGCACGGGCTCCGGACGCACAGGCTCAGCGACCATGGCTCATGGGCCCAGCCGCTCCGCGGCATGTAGGATCTTTCCCGGACCGGGGCACGAACCTGTGTCCCCTGCATCGGCAGGCGGACTCTCAACCACTGCGCCACCAGGGAAGCCCATATTCTATACCAAGTCCCTTAATTATAAACTGAGCTGCTGTTTGGGAAACCCTAAAGTTGGCTGCTTATTTGACTCATCTTAAATATCTCATACACAACACTTCTGCAGCATCACTCACAATCCAACATTACTGATAGGCGACCCTTGTGGCAAGTCTGTATGTGCCAGCAAGATTATCTGAAAGACTAATAAAATCCTTGTAATCCTTTTCAAGGATGCAGAAAGGAAAATGGCTACATTTCAAATTCATGTCATTTCAAACTCATGAATTAAGCTCTAAACTCTACATTTGAAAAAAAAAGTCAACACAAGTTCTCTAATTTATGTTCTAAACTGAGAAAACAAATAGTTGCTAAGAAACGAAATTTGCAAAATTGTTAAACACGTTTTCTAGTTGATATGCACGTACTTAAAACTACAAACTATACCAAAATATAAATGCAGGAATCACTACCATTGAACTTGGTTGATAAAACTTCATCATGAAATCTGGAATTGTTTTTTTGGTTTGGTTAATTTTATTCCTAGACACTCTGCTTTTTAGGTGTATATAAAACTGATCATGTGTAGATGATGTTGAGATGATACTTCTGTGAAAATATATGAGAAAGCTTATTGCTTCTCTTCCTTCTTATCCATCATGCTCTGGGTAAGAGAGCTCCTTCTTACCTCCCAACATCTTGATTACTGTGACACTCATGTCAGAGTGCTCTGCACCCTATCCCTCCTCCTGGCTATCACCTGTTAACTTCTCACTCAGTGTACAGTTTGGCAAAGGGCTACCAGACTTCCTCTCTCCTTCAAAGCAGTCATCCTCCTGGAAGACTTGCCAATGACCCATCCAACAAATTTGCCTTTCAAACCCATGATCTCCTCTGTCCAATCCAGCCACTCTGCCCCTGCCCATAGCTCCTCTACCTCTGACCAACATGCCTGCCCTCCCTGCTCTTCTCTCCCACCCATCACATCTATTCTCTCACTCCACTGAGAGCCCCACCCCTCCAATCTGGCTTCCCCTCCTTCCTCTTGGTGGACTACCTCTTCCACCTCTCTTGCCAGCATCTTCAACTTCCTTAAAGAATTGTCTCCCTTGTCCAGCAAAGCCCAGCCCTGGGTCAGCCTCACCAGTAGCCTTCTCCATGCCTATCTCAGGGCTGATGGGATGCTGAAGAAAGCCCGTACCTCATAGATTAGTGCCCCCACAAACCCATGGCCTCCAGACTCAGCAGTCCCTTACCACTGCCCTGCAGTCTCTGTGGGTTGCTATTAGCTTTCCCTCCTCTTTTCCGTAGCAGCCATCTTGAACATTTTGCTCTTTCTCCAAGCTTCCCACTCCATCCCATTTCCTCACACTGAGTAGATATCCTTGCCTCCCATCACAAGTAATGGCTATCAGGTGTGAATTCCCTCCATTTCCTAAGCCCACCTCCCAACTACCTACCTACCAAACTGCTGACCTACCTACGTCTCCAACTCCTTCCTTTCCCTTCTCCCACCTGAGGCTCACTCTGAACCCCACCACCTCCCATCCTCTTGCTGACCTCACTTCATCCTTCAACCCTTCTCTTCCCTGTATCCTCAACCGTCCATATACTGGCTTTTCCCCATGAGCATTTTTAAATGTCCTAATCTCTCCCAACTTAAAACTGTCTCCTAACTCTACATCCTTTCTCATTTTCTCTCCTCCCCTTCAAAACCACTAACAAGAGTTATCTACATCCACTTCTCACACACTCAGACTGCTGCCCCTGCTGCTCCATTGAAACTACTCTCTCCAAGATTGCCAGTGACCTCTGTGTTGCTAAATCTGGGGTTCAATTGTTCAGACTTTGGCTTACTAGACTGTTCTACAGCATGTCACTTCACTTCCTCCATTTGGCTTCTGTGGCACACCATTCTTTGGTTTTCTTCCTATCTCTCTGTTCTCACCTTTACTTCTGGGCTCCTCTTCCTCTATTTGTCCCTTAAATGTTGGCATTTCCCAAGGGATTTTGGTCTTCTCTTTCACCCTCTCTACTGAAGGATTTCATTCACTTCCATGGCTTCAGTTATGAGTATATATTAAGAACTTGATAACTTAAGGTTCTTTCTCCAGATCAGATCTCTCAAGGATGACAGGCTCTCAGGCTCTGTCTTTTTTATTTGAATTAGGTTCAGGGTAATAGTCTCCCTGATTGCTTCTTCTTTGGCCATGAATTAGTTACTCCCATATATTAAGGCATTCTCCCAAGATAAGCTCCAAATCACCTAATGGACCTCTCACCTGATGTCCCACTCACCTCAAACTCACCTCCTCCTCTTCCTGCCTAAACCTACTCCTTTACTATTCCGTACCTCAGAGGAAAGCACCACCATGCATTCACCTAGTTACCCAAGGCAGACACCTGGGCATCACCCTTGACTCACCACTTTCTGCCACACCCTCAGCTCATCACTCACAAAGTCCTCTTGATATTTCTTTTTTTTTTTTTTTTGGCCACACTGCGTGTCTTGTGGGATCTTAGTTCTCTGACCAGGATTGAACCCAGGCCCATGGCAGTGAAAGCACTGAATCCTAACCACTGGACTGCCAGGGAATTCCCTGAATATTTACCTCCTTAATACATCTCAGATCTACCCCTTTTTTCCATCTTCATTGATGCCGTGCTTGATCACTGCAGCAGCTTGCAACCTACATCTAAGCCTCATGTTCTCCTGGTCATTTTCCACACAGGCCCTAGACCTTTTCAAAATGCACATCTTCTCAAAAACCTTCATTATCATTAGAATAAAGTTATATTTCTCAGCCTGATATACTGAGAGGAGCCAGCCCTGATTAATCACTCCAGCCCCATGTCTGAGATTCAGCATTCTGGTTAATCCCCTTGCTAATGAATTAGAAGACCTATGGAACTTCACTTGAGACCTTTTGCCTCTCTGACAAGGGAGCAGGCTAGCTCAGTGTTCCCCTGGAATCCTTTGCAACTCTAGCTTATAAGCATCTAGAATTCCCTTCTCTCACAATTCTCTGCTCTCAAACCACTCCTTAAAAAAGACAAAACAAATATATTGAGCATATGCCTGACCAAAATCATACAACTAATAAGAGAGAGAATGGGGATTTGAACCCAGATTGCCCAGGACATTACCTCCTATTTGTTCACAATCAAACCAACTACTGATAATCCAAGATGAAGAATGTGGAAACAGACAAACATTCATTAAGTGCTTAATATTTATGAAGTGCTTTACATAAGGCATCTCACTTCTCCATTACAACACTGTCAAATTAGCAAACTGTGTGTACAAGGTCCCACAGCTAGTAAATGGGCTTGAATTCCCCCACCTCCACCTTATTACCTGATCCCTACCACCAATAAATAGCATTTTACAACTGAAGAAACAGGTCCAGCCCAGGGTCATACCTCTAATCAGAGGCAAAGTCAGAATTAGAATCCAGGTTTCCTGAATCTGCTTGGCTGGGCCGATGCTATTTTAGTCCCTGCTTTCTGGGAGAATCGTGGAACCCTGACTTGTACCCTAGTTATAACAATTTCCTGAAAACTAGCACTACTCCTGAAGGGCTAAACTGACCTCTAGAGTTTCAACTGTTGCTCCAGGCGGTCTTCTTTGGTAGCCCTCTGCTGATACTCTGCCGATGCTGTGCTGGTGTCCACCCTGTGGTGTAGTCCTCCCCTTCCCACTTTTCCAACAACCTCTGCTCTCACTGCATCCACAAAATTAGGCACTCTGTGTCAGCACAAACCCCATTTCCTCCTACCTCCTACAGTTTTCTCATCTTCAGTAATGAGCCCCCCCACTATCTGTCCGCCTAGCTCCAAAGGTCTTTCCTTATGGTTTAGCCAGGATCAAAGCCCCTCTGCCTGTTAGTTAGAAGTCCTGTTAGTTCTTTCCTAAGTGCAATCCATTTGACTCCTTCCCTCATTCTAGCCTTCCCTCCCTGGATGTCATCAGCGCAAGGATGGCAGGGTTGCTTTCTCAGGCTCTGTCTTTTTGGTTTGAATCAGGTTCAGGGTAATAGCCTCCCTGGTTACTTCTTTGGCCACGAATTAACTATTCCCATTTATTAAGGCATTCTCCCAAGAATGCTTTAGCTAAGATATATCCAGAATGTCTGGATGTGGTGACATATGAAGCATGTGTGGGATTAACTGGACCATCTGGCCAACACCAGGGCCCTGAGTAGAAAAAGAATCAGAAAAGATGCTACCTAGCAAGGTGGGATATCACCACCAGGGCCCTATGATGCTGAGCAGAGGGCTGAAAGAAGGGCAGGGATCTCAGACTGCCTTTACTCCATAACTGACAGGAGCAAAAGATCTTTCCCAGAAAGGGAGTGGGAGGTAGGGTGTTTAGGCACAGAAAGAAGAAGGGCCAACAGCTAGAAATAGAGGAACATGAAGAACTGATGACATTTAGGGGAGAACTGACAGAACTTCCAAGGAATGATAGACATGAATCCATCACTCCCTTGCGTCACAGGACTGGAAAGGCCCTCAAAGCACTCAGGCAAAATTTCAATCCATTGTTTGAATAACATAAACATTTCTTCAAGGCGGTGGTATCCCTCTAGTTGAAGACTTTCAGCAATGGGAAATGCCTAACCACAGGAGATCAAGATCATGCGAAATTCAATTACAATACATTCATTTTCAATTCAACAAATATCTATTAAGTACCTACCATGCAACAGACACTACAGGCACTGGACTGTAAGTGTGAATAATATAGACACGGTCCCTGCTCTGTGGATCTTATAATCTGATATGGAAGACAGATACTCAAATACATAAGTAGAATGGGGGAAGTAGAGGGTGCTGCTCAAAAACAAGGTGAGGTACCTCATATGGAGCCGGGCATCTGGGAAGGCTTCACTGAGGAGGCAGCGTCTAGGCTGGGGCTTGAAGAGTGTGAGGCATTAGCTGAGTGCAGGGTGGAGGGACCCACGTGAGAGAACAATTGATTAAGGCTTCCCAGCTTCCAGAGAAGTTCAGAGTGTTGCAAGAAGGTGGAGTCCAGATCTCGAAGGGCCTTTAGATTGACACTGAGGAATGTGGGTTTAATTCCGGAGGCAATGGGAAGACTGGTGAAGGGTTTTAAGCAGAAGCGCCCTCTGGCTACGCTGTGGGAGACGCTGCGGTACGGGGCGTGGCGTGAAGGAGGTCAGAATCCGGGATGAGAAGGCCTTGATGGCCCAAGGAAAATGACCAAAAACAAAGCGCTCCTCTATGACAAGACAGAGGCAAAAACAAAGGGATAAAGTTCAGAATGCGCCCCTTCCACTCTCAAGCCGAAAGTCTCCATCCTCTCTCACCTTTGCTGGGCAGCTCGCCCTCGGTTTGCCCTAACACCGCGGAGTGTGGGCGGGGAGACGACTCCACGCCCTTCTTTCCAGATAAGAAAACTGAGGCCCAGAGTCCCGGGGTGGGGACCGAGGTGAAAAGAGAATGGAAACGGCCTCCCAAAGGAGGCTGCCCGAAGTCACGCACAATCCTTCGAGGGTCCGGCGGCCTGCCCCATTACTCCGTCAGCCGTCCCCAACCAGTCGCCTTTGCTATAGAAACAGTCCTCCCGCCCTCCTCAGCGCCTCTGTTTTGTCAATGCACCCTGGGAAATGCAGTCTATCTCTCATTATCTGCCCGAGACATGAGCCCACTCCGCGTCCTTAAAGGACTACAAGTTCCAGAAGGCTGTACGAAAACACCGGCGGGCTCTCGGGGATTTGGTCTAGCAAGAGAGACAGAAGAACCCGCGGGCGGGGCCGAAGGGAAGGGAGATGTGCCCCCCCCAATGGGCGACCCCTGGGCGGGGCTCGGGTCTCTATTGGCTACGGAGGCACGGAGGAGGCGGGGTCAGCGGAATGAGGCGCGGAGCTGTTCGCCGCTCCAGGTGCTGAGTCCGAGGGAGGCTCCGGAGCGAAGAGGAGCGGTCTCAGCCTTCTCTGCCGCCGCCGCCGCCGCCGCCTCGCGTCGAGAGCCCTCCGCCTGGAAGTCGAAGCCGTGAGGAGCCCGGAGGAGCTGGATGCGCTGCCGGGCGCCGACCGCCCTTCCGCATCTCTGAGGTCGGTGCTGCTGGATTCGCTTTTGTTTTATTGAGGAAGGAATGAATTGAGGGGTTAGAGGGCCTGGGGAGTTGATGGGACCTCACCGCCCTCAAGACCATCTGTCCCGGAGAGCTGCTGACTGACCCCTCGTGGGCCTCCCTGTGGCCCCGGCGCCTGAGGTCGGAGCAGCTTTGGTTAGTTTTTGTCTTATGGTGGAGGAGGCTCTTAAGCGTGAGGGGCGAGGGCTGGGGACCTACCCCACCATCTCTCTTGAGAGGGCGTTGAGAGCTTGCAGCCTCCCTCCGCCTGTGCCTGAAGTCGAGGCTGCTTGGATTATTGAGGATGGCAGGGAGTGTTCCGGGATGAAAGAATCGGAGGCAGGAGGACCCTTCCCCACACCTCGGCTGCTTGAGCTTACAAAGAGGGTCTGGATGTGATGGATGAAACCGCGGTATTCCTCCTCCTCCGCTCAGACCCTCCTGAGGAAGGGCTGTTTGGGGATGTCAGGAAGACCCTTCCTCGTACCCACCCCTCTCCCGAAGCCTAGGGTTTTGTGAAAAGGGGGGACGGGATGAAGATGGAGCCAGACGACTCTTCCCCCTCCCAACTGGACCCGCCTAGGTTATGGGGGGGTAGGCGGGAATGGGATGTGAGGGGCAAAGGCCGGGAGACCCCTCCCCACCCTGTTAGGAGTCGCCGGTACAGGAGAGCCCTGACGGATTCTCCGGGTCCTCTGCGATCTGGGCCCCGTGCCTAAGGTCGGGGTGGCCTGGGTGTGGGGTGTGCGATGGGGAAAAGTAAAAGGGATTGAAGAACCCCTCCCGACCTCTCCGCTCCCGGGCCTTATCGACTTGGCCCTCTAACTGGATCCAGGCCAGGGACCCTAAGTCGAGACGACCCTCCCCTCCCCGCCCCGCCCCACCCCGGAGACCCTGGCTGCTGAACCGCAGAGGGGAGCCAGACCTGGATGGGCACATGCTGGGTGGGACAGGCCTAGTCCCCCTCTCAAGCGCCCTGGAGCTCCAAGCAGACGCCCCCCGCGCCCATAGACCCTCGGGCTGTTCTGCTCGGCGCGGGGCGCGCCTCAGACCCCGCTGCCGAGACCTGTGTCCTGGCTATGCGGCGGCCGCTCCGGGCGCAGGGCTTTCGCGCTTGGCCCCGGCATCCGCGAGAGGACAAAGCCGCGGTCGCCGCACTGGCGGGCCTGCGCCACTGGCTGGGCGGGGGGCGCGGCCAGGGGAGTGGGGGGTGGGGGAGGCTTCGGGCGCGGCGCGGGGAGCTTCTGCGGAAACGTGCCAGAAACCAGGCGGGAGACAAAGCGCGCTCGCTCCTCCCGGGCCCGCGCGAGCCGAGATGGAAAATCCCAAGGGAGGAGGCGGCTGCGCCGGGCAGGGCACTATGCCCCACACCCTTCTTCCCTGCACACCACCACCCTCGCCGGTCCAGCACCCAGGATGCCGTGTGTGCGATGGTAGCCAGGGTCCCTTCTGTGCGGCGTTCCAAGACCTGTGACCACGAGAACGTGGACAAGCCAGGGGCTCCGCCTCTCGAGGAGGGGCCCAGGGTTCAGGAGGCATGAGTGGGCCAGGGGCCGTAAGGGCATCCTGCCTGGACCCCCCAACCCTGCTCCATCAGCCGTGTTAGGTCAAATTTGGTTCCAGGATTCGAGTGTATTTGTATGTGCCACAGTGTGTTTACATGGGTGAGGGTGCGGGTCAGAGTGTGAATGTGTATGCCCGGGTGAGGTGCCAATGGGTGCTCCAGTGTTCATGTGTGTGTCCCTTGTGCATCTGGCCGGATGTGTGTGAAAAGAATCAATTACTGCTGGCCTTGGATGGGGGCGGGGGTGGGGCAGGGTAGTCACCCCTTCAACCCTCAAGCTGCAGTAATGACCTAGGGTCCCAGGGGATGCCCTCAGGGTGGAGGTAGCTTCAGATCATGTGCATGCGGTGTGGCGCAGAAAGTGGAATCTCACAAGTATGTGGAGCTCTCTTCAGCCCTTCTGGTGATTTGGGTCTGACCCTAATATCCTCACCAGGGTTCTGCCCTTCCCATTCCTCAGAAACCGTATCCTGCTGTAAAAGGCTGCCCTAAGGACCAGAATTCTGCCCCCCACCATCATGGGCTGACAAGTGGGGCTTGGGGAGCTCAACAGCAGAGGTGGGTGCAAGATTGTGTGGCAAGACAACTTTTGTCACTTTGGCCTCTATCTGGAAGGACCATGGGGCTGGAGTTGCTGGTCAGTGACGGTGGCCTCTCAGTAATACCAGGTACACTCATGGAGAGGGCACGAACGTGACACAGATATATCACTATGGGTAGATATCCCAGGAGGATGAGGACAGCCCTCCCAGACCTGCCCACTCCCACCAAGTGACCTCAGTTTCATAGCACTTTGACAGCAAAGGTGCTGTCACCAGAGACTCCTTTCCTGTATGATGAGGGGCTAGACAGTGGCCAATGGAACCACAGGAAGAACAGTTACCAGAGCCACCATCCAGCCCAGCCCTGCCCGGTCCAGTCTCCACAAGTATCCACAGCGACCTCTGCTGGGCAGAAGTGAAACCAATTTGAAATTTGGCAACTAACACTCCCCCACGGTGTGAAAGCTCAAGGTGGGTGTGGGCATTGTTAGGTAAAAACCATTTGGGGGCTACTTGTCTGCTTTTGGAGTCCTGAGTCGATGTTCTTGTCTGCAGTTCCTTCAAGCAATGGAACTGCCACTGTTCTCGCCTATATGGAAATATTTAAAGAGGGCCTAAAGACGTTTGTTCAAGTTTTCATCCAGTTGAGGGTGGGCATCAAATTTGTTTAAGAGAAAAAAGCATGAAAAACATTCATCAAGCTCAGGGAGATTTAAGTATATTTCCTGTCTTTTCCTCTCCTTCTTCAATTCCTTTCTCCTTTTTCTTCCTATTCTACTTTTATCCTCCCCTCTTCCTCATTATTAGTCAAAAACATATATTTTAAACATACGCTTTCTTTTTCTCATCAACAATACGGCCCTGAAAATGCAGATATCAGGAGTCTATTTCTAAATGCAAAGAACTGGGAAACACTGTCTCCTCCAGGCCTAATGATGGGAGCAGGGGAGATGGATGAGATGTGCTCAGTCTTAAATGCCCACCTGATGACATGTGTCTCCTCTCCTGGTGTTGCTCTGAAGTCATTTCATGCAGCCACAAACTCTTTAGAGCTCCTTAAAGGAAAAGAGATATTTAAATACCTGGTATTGTTCTTACTTTGGCATCCATGTGATTTTCATTGAACTACATGACTCAGTATCATAAAGTAAAAATAGGACTTAATCTCCTCCTTGCCTGTTTGGAAGGTGACTGCATATGCATGTTGTGTTCTGCACTGGAGAGCGAAAAGCTAAATTATCTCATAAATTGGACTACCTGCTTATCCTAATTAGAGAATGTCGCTTAACATCACATACAGGCAATAACATTGTTTTTTAAAATTCATACGTGAATCTCTGTCTTCTAAAGCCTTTCTTCATACTCATACATTATTACTTTCACTTGAGGTTAATCAAGAATGTTTAATCCTTGTACTGAAGCCGAACAAATTAAAAATCAGCAGATACAGGAAGTTGTGGGTAGTATTTCTGTTCTTCTTGGGCTCAAAAAAGAAAAAATCCTTGGAATTCATAGGAGAGAAGGAAAGGCCCTGAAGATTCGGTAACTCCTATGGATGGAGTTTCTGAGGAGAGGCTCCTCAGAATTTTCCAGGAGGGCTGGCTGTGTTGAAGAATCTCTGCATGCATTCAAGTGGTACACAGGCTGGGAATGAGACTGCGGCTTTTGGGATTCCTAAATCCCCACACTAATGCAGCCCTTCTGGGAAAATCCCCCAAGTGCTTCCTGCTCCCTCAGGCCGCCCAGCAGTCCCTAGGGTGTGGAGCTGTCCAAGGTCCTGGAGCACTGGCCCCAGCCCCGCCTAGTGGAAAGGGAGAATTTTAGGGCATGGAGTAGAAGCAAGCTCTGAGGACCACGGCCTCTGTGACGACTTCCCCAAAGCTCATCACAGAATGGAACAGGAGAAAACATAGCTGTAGACGATCTACTGCATCACTTCGAATGAACCCATCAGCGATCCCTATTTAAAGAATTACAAGCTAATAATAAGAGGAAACATTTCTGAGTCAGGCTCTTCACATGTAAGGATGTATTTAATCCTCACAGTCCTATGATGTGGGTGGTGGTGTTACTTCCACTTTCAAGATGAGGAAATGAAACTTTGAGAGGAAAGGGGTTTGTCCATGGTTATACAGGTCAGAAGGAGCAGCGTTTATGCTCCAGCCTGGATATCTTAGACTCCAAAGACTCCTCCTGACCACTATTTTTTTTCCTACTGCTATTGTAGAAGAAAAATTGAAGTATTGTAGTCTTCTCTGAGATTCTAACCAAATTTTAGAGTAATGGGATTGGGGACCAACTAAGATTCAGACATAAATCACAAGGAGTCCTTTCAAATTGAGCAAGGGTATTGCCACATACTTCACATCTTATCCTGACAAAGGGCTTGTTACCTGAACTTGATTACCAAAGAAGGGGAAAGGTGAGTATATGACCCTCATGGCCAGTGGTCCAGGGTTTTTCCAGAGTGGAACAGTTTCACAGGAAGCCAAGCTTGCAAGAATAGAGAGAGAGGGAAAAAAAATGAGGATGTTGTTATTATTCAACAGAGTATATATAGAGCTAAAGAAACGGGCTTATCTTTATCTGCTAGCATCCTGTTCCAATGCTGAGGACACTTGGATATTGTTAAGAGGCTCCTTCCACCTATTCCCTCTCTCAGATTTTTCACAGCAAAGCTTCTAACACCAAAATAATAGTTTTCACTGTTGTGAGCCTCAACTAATCTCAGGGAAACATCACATTTCCACCCTCATGCCGTCATAACCAATGTTCCACCTTCATATGTGGCCACGGAAGTCCTTAAGGTGGCCAGGTTTGGAGCTTGATGTGCTTTAAGCCACATATTCTCCAGTCCTCCCAGGGTGGCAGTGTCAACTGCCCCAATCTTGCCACACACACACACAGGAGGCCTGTGCCTGAGAACTCCCCATGCAGTTGCTATAGGTTTGGGTGTCTAAAGAGAGTAGAGAGAAATAGAATTGTGCTTTTTCTTCTCTCCCTAGACCTCAGTGTGCTTAACACCCAGGCAGGGGGCCTGGCCTTTTAAGAAACTGCTTCACATCATGCTGGGGCTCCAATCCATTTTGAGCAATTCCTTTCCCTTGTAGGTTGGGATTTTGCAAGGCTCTTGGCGTATGGAGCAAAGATTGCTATTGCTTTTCCCGAGGGCATTTGGAGGCCAAGGACCAGCTCCCCATCTGGGTCTGCTCTGACTCATATGACTGCAGACAGATTTGATTGTTTTCTTATTTAGAGTCATTAATTAACTCTCCTCAGCATAAGAACAGCATGTAACAAGAGGGAGGCCCTTTGCGGGGGTCTCTAGGCAGTCATGCCTATAGCTGAGCACCAGCTCTTTTGCTAACAGGATCGGGAAATGGTTTCTGATCCTGGCTATTACCCTTCAGAAAGCTTAGATTGTCAGCACTTTAGGCTAATATGAGAAAGGAAATGAAAATGTAATTAATTGCTAAGGCTGCTATAGTTATTCTGCAAAAACTGAGAGGCCCCAGGATCCCTCAAAGAACTGGATTTTCATTCATTCAACAAACATTTCTTGTTCCTGCAGTGTGCCAGGCACAGAACTGGGCACAGGGAACACTACTCCAACTTGGGATAAGCACTGTCATACAAAAATTTTGACTGGAAAGAGCAAACAGCTGCAGAAACCCTGAAAATGGTGTGTGCTATAAGAGAAACTTAATAATCATAAGCCATCATCTCTTTTTTAACATGAGGAAAGAGGCTGAGGGAAGTTGAGGGTTGCCCAGTTAGCTGAGGATTAGAACCCAGGTTTTATAACTCCTAAGGTATGTTCTTTCCACTGTCCTAAACCGCTGCTATGTTTATTAAATTGTCCAAAGGTCACATTTCCATTAACATAGCCTTTTATGATCCAATCCTAATGCAAAACCTAAAGTTGAAATAGAAACAGATGAAATAGGAAAAGAAGAACGCCTATTTATATCTGTTTCCAATATAATACCCATATGTGGCTGTTGAGCACTTGAGATATGACTAGTCTGAACTGAGATGTGCTGTAAGTATAAAATATACACCAGATTTTGAAAAATTAGTATAAAAAATATAAAATAGCTCATTAATAATGTTTTGGATAAAATAACATTTTGGATACATTAGGTTAAATAAACAATATTATTAAAATTAATTTCACTTGTTTATCTTTACTTAGCTGCTCTTGTTATCAGAGGGGGCTTACAGAATCTTACAAGACAGGGGCAAGAGGAAGGACAACAATTTTCAGATAAATCAAACAAAAGATTTACTACTAGTTAAAACATGATTGAAAACACTTGTAAGTATAAGCTCATGAATTACCTTGATGTGGGCCAAATTTTTTTGCAGATAAGGATACTGAGGAAAGATTTCAAGCCATTTCTATAAGCATATGATGAATAAACAAATGAGCTAACCGAATTATGCACAGGTCTTGACCTCTGCTAATGAGTTGAGGAAGAGGATGATTAGAGGGTACTTACAACAGATGACCCAAGAGCTCTAAGTCTCTTGGACTCCACGATTCCTCGGGGAAATGAGAGCCTTGTGCTTTAGGAGAAAGATGCTGGATAGGAGTTGGACATACACGAGGTCAAAGCCACTCTGCCACCCATTGGCCTTGATCAAGTTATGCAGTCTTGAGCGCTCAAAAAATGGTAGCTATGACTAAATGGGATTTCAGGTGTTCTTTAATAGAAAAGTTTCTGTTCAGAATCTCCATGGTCTTCTCTACAATTCTACTGCCTCACCCCCCATCTTTGCTTGTTCCCTGAGGAGGCTTAAATGACAGTTTCATTTGATTGTGTCTACACCAAAACGTAGGGTCTCAGTAACTTTGGGCACACCTCAGCATCTTTCATGTTCTCCTCTGTCCCATCAACACACGTGAGGTTCTTTCTCTGGGACAATGAGGCAAGCAGCAAAACAGGCATCATTCTGTCATGTTTATCCTGAAGTTCTGCATTCTCATCTTGGTGTTTAGAGCACTTTACATGCAGTTTTACTTTAAAAATAAAGGGACATAAATAAAGAAACCGTAGCCCCAGGAGAACGTGGCCATGGTCCCTTTACTGCACAGCTCTGAGGGAGCACATCATTGCTATTCTTGACCATCTTTTTTCCAAAAGTTTGCCTTCTAGATCAAAGAAATACATGTTAAGCTCAGTGAAGACTTATGTTAACAGAGCATGTTGAAACCAAACTCCTTTCTAGAGACTAGTCCCACAGGAAGTGCAGAAATCCCTGGAAGTGCTTTAGAAGGAGAGAAACATGGTCAGATATCCTGGGTCAGTGTGGTGGGTGAGTTGAAGTGGGGAAGAGCCTGGAGGTAGGATGGCCCCTGGTTCTGCTGAGAGGCCCCTGACTTCCAGGGACTTAAGTACCAGGGCTAGGTTATTTGGGGATAGATTCTGGTCTTGAAATGCATTTTTCCCATCCATTCGCTCTTTTTTAAAAAAATAAATTTATTTATGGCTGCATTGGGTCTTCGTTGCTGCACACGGGCTTCCTCTAATTGCGTTGAGTGGGAGCTACTCTTTGTTGCGGTGCGCGGGCTTCTTATTGCAGTGGCTTCTCTCGTTGCGGAGAGCGGGCTTTAGGCGCGCGGGCTTCAGTAGTTGTGGCTTGTGGGCTCTAGAGCGCAGGCTCAGTACTTGTGGCACACGGGCTTAGTTGCTCCGCGGCATGTGGGATCTTCCTGGACCAGGGCTCGAACCCATGTCCCCTGCATTGGCAGGCGGATTCTTAACCACTGAGCCACTAGGGAAGTCCCCCATCCATTCACTCTTTTTTTTTTTTTTTTTTCTGTACGCGGGCCTCTCACTGTTGTGGCCTCTCCCTTTGCGGAGCATAGGTTCCGGACGCGCAGGCTCAGCAGCCGTGGCTCACGGGCCCAGCCGCTCCGCGGCATGTGGGATCCTCCCAGACCGGGTCACGAGCCCGCGTCCCCTGCATCAGCAGGCGGACTCTCAACCACTGCACCACCAGGGAAGCCCCATTCACTCTTTTGTTCACTCAACAGATACTGAATGGTACATAGCTAGGGTGGCGGTGTTTTGAGAAACCTTGCTCCAGAGGACCCCAGGGTCTGGCTGGGTAGAGGAGCAATGCCCACGTGAAGGGTAAACCAAGGAAGACGGGCTGATGTAATAACAGGAGGCCTATTAAGGTGGGTTGGCTATGGCGGTGGGAAAGCTGTTGATCCCAACCAGATAGAATTGACTCTGAATCTCAGCTTCATCACCAAATGTGTGGCCTTGGGCAAGTGCTTTAACCTTTCTGAGTTTCATTTTCCTCATCTGGGACAATTAAATCTACTTTTCCTGGGTTGTTATGGCCTTACATGGCAACATATAAAGAAAATTCTTAGGATTAATACTAGCTCTCCTTTACTGAGTGCTTACAGTGCATCAGGCATTGTGCTCAGCCCTTTATATGCATAAAAGAGCTACTGTTATTATCCCTATTTTATAGCTGAGGAAAGCAATGCCCAGGAACTTCAAGTAACTTGCCCAAGGTCACACAAGCAGTAAGAGGTGGGCAAGCTGACTGCAGAGCCTGCTCTTAACCACTGTGATTACTGCCTCATGGTTCAAGATCAGCAGGAACCCAATAACTTCTTTAGAAGGAGGGCGAGGTGATTTGTGGGTCAGCTTGTAGAGAGGTCTTCTGCTTGGTCTTCAAGGGTGTGTACAGGGCTTCCCTGGTGGTGCAGTGGTTAAGAATCCTCCTGCCAACACAGGGGACACGGGTTCAATCCCTGGTCCAGGAAGATCCCACATGCCGCGGAGCAACTAAGCCCATGCGCCACAACTACTAAGCCTGCGCTCTAGAGCCCGTGCTCTGCAACAAGAGAAGCCACCGCAATGAGAAGCCTGTGCACCGCAATGAAGAGTAGCCCCTGCTCGCTGCAACTAGAGAAAGCCCGGGGAACAGCAACGAAGACCCAACACAGCCGAAAATAAAAACAAACAAATTTATAAAGAAAAAAAAAGGTGGGTACAATATGAAGAGGCTCTGAAGGGTCAGTAGGGTGGGGAGGGAAGGCAGGGAAAAGTTGTGACCAAATGAACAAGGCTGGGTATGCCAGTGGTGTATTCTGGGGACCCTGAAATGGAGAAGAGAGTTTCAGTAGGAAATAGATGTTTGGTAAGAACGGTTTAGAAAACCTGTGGCTAACAATTTTTGGCCAAAAAAAAGTTCATATGCAAAGAAAGGAATGTAAAATCTGAAACTACCAATTTGAGGTATCTCACTGAATTGGGGCATTTTGTTGCCATGTGGAACGTGCTCATCAAGCATACCCAAAGCCAGAGCTTGTGGAGGGCGTGGCCAGACAGCACAGCCATCCAGCATTCCTACCAGTGCTCTTTGCTCTTTAGAGAACATGCATGGACTTTTCTCTCATTTGGTCTTCACAAAAGCTCTAGGCAGGAGAAGGCTGGGAGGTCTGCTACGAGGATGGCTGCCTGTGTCAAGCGGCAGGCAGCACGAGTTGCCAAGAGGCACAGATGCCAAGCACAGCCGCAGTGCCCAAATCCAGGCAAAAAGCTTAGGAGGGCTTTTTCTGTGAGGGAGGAGGCAGAGGCTTGCCCCTGGACTGAGACCTTTTCTCTGTGCTCCAGGAGGCAGGCAGTGTTATCCTTTGGTCTGTGATTCTCCAGCAATGTCCCTGAGTGGCTGCCTCCCAGAGTGGCTGCTGTGAGGGCCTGAGTCAGGGTCACTGCAAATCCCACAGCCCATTCCGGATGCAGCACCTATCAATCAGTGACCCCCGCCCCCCGTGCAGAGAGCTTGTCTCACAAAAGGGGATTTTTCTGGACTTGCCATCTTGAGTTTGTTCTGCAGACTGCAGGGACTAGAAACCAAACCCCAGTCTTCTTAGTCTGATTAGAAGGAAAATCTATCTTTTCTCAGGGCTGCAGTCACCACTGACCACCAGATTTCTCTCCATGGCTACACTTCTAATAACAATGGAAAGTAAAGGCAAGAAGGGAGAGGGACACAGATGCAGCACTTCTTCCAAGAGGCACCTGCAGTTCTGTGAAGGATGTGAGGCAGTGGGGAGGTAATATTCACAGCTCTGCAAGAGTCCCTTGATGAGTGAAGGGGAAGTTTTGATGTGCAAGATGATAGAAGATGAAAGAGACCATGGTGCTGCACTGCGTTTTCTTTGGAAAGTCATGCGAGGGTTCCAGATGCCCTCCACAGTTCTGGAAGGATAAACTTGCCCCGTGTTGGCAAGGCCACGCAGATTTTGACAAGTTGTCCGGGGATAAGTCCCTAGTGACTATAAACATAATACTAATGAGAAATGACAAACACTTGTCTTGGTAATGGAATGTTAAGGGCTCATCTGGTCATTGACCCCAGTAATGATTAATGTGTGTCCACACTCACTGAATGCGACGGAGTGGAATGGTGACTTCTGAAGAATAAAATCAAATTGAGAAATCAGAATAATAATAAAGGCATGGATGTTTGGAATGGTTGGGCACCGGCAAGTACAGCTGTGGTTACTTCAGAGCAGCTTTCCCGCCAGGTCTCTTTTACCAGATCATTCTAACCCCAAGGCTCTGACACGCCAATTCTTAGACAGTCCCAGCACAGCACGTGGCACCTACTCTGTGTTAAGCCCTGCACCAACCACTGGAGAGACAGAAGTGAATGAGACACAGTCCCTGTCCTTAGGGGGTTAGCCAAGTCTAAAACAGAACATGGAGCACAGAGTAGGAATTGTGAAAATGAACATGGCCACTTCATGTTGTTTCCTTATAGGTGCTGCCTCACCTGTAGCCGCAGCAGGTGAGCCAAATTGGGATCTTAGAAATATTGCCAACCTTATCTCATGTCAAATCTGAGCAGCTGTGATTCCAGCTACTGATGCTGGGGTAGCAGAGTAAGGGCAATGGAAGCAGAGGCTGGTGTATTTCAGAAACTTGTTGCATACATTTGGTGAAAATGTTTTTCCTTTACATGTTTTGTTTGAAAGACCCGCTCCTGAGACCCTTTGCCTGCAATTAGAGCACACTGCCACAAGAGGCACCATGAAGCAGTGTGGCCCAAGCAGCTATGCTCCTCACAGGCATAGTATGCTAAGCAAAGTATAGTTTTTCAGTTATTAACCTTCAGAAGAACATAATTTTTAATTAATCAACCATAGAAGGATTGCACATTTAATAGGGCCAAGTCATGGTAACCTATGTATAGTGAGTGGACAGTTGTGAATTCATCAACATTCATCTAACAAAATTCATGTGTGCCTACTGTATACAAAGAACAGTACAAAGTCCCTGCCCTTAGCTACTCACTCCTGTCAGGAGGACATACACAGACAGATAATTCCAGTGCAGCAAGATAAATTGTATGATGGAGGGATGAACAGAGAGCACTGGAAACACAGAAGAGGAACGACTAACTCTAACAGGGGGAATTACACACACACACACACACACACTTGCATGTGTTAGGTCTGGACATTAACATCTGAGTCAGAGGGTTTACACCAACTCATATAGAAGAAGAAAAGCATATGGGTCAAAATATTTTGAAACACTCTAAGGAATTGGAATCAGCCTGTTGAGTGACCTTGGATATATCGTCTACATCTCTGGACCTCAGTTTCCTCATCTGGTGCTCCAAGGGCTTGACAGTAGCCATCATGACCATGTGGGTCTGGAACAGGAGGGAGATTAGAGAGATGACCTTGACTCCAGTGGCCAGGCGTGGCTTTGTCCCAGCCCCAAGGTCTCCTTGACACCTGCTTGTCTGGACCCTGATGATGTTACCTCTTGATTCTGGCTTAAATGTTCCAAGGCTTCCCAGAGGATCAGCTGAGGTGCTGGTCCCCAAGGAACTTGGTGTTTGTGAGGTGTCAGCCTTTGGTGTCTGGTGGATATGGTCTGGCTCTCCTGAGTAGCTATTTGGCCCACCACCCTCCCCAGAAGCCAGGCTGGCCCTGTCAAAGCTCTGACCACTGCATGCACTGCCCCTTCTCACCAGCTTCTCACTGCTCCTTCTGACCTGTGGCCACTCTTAGGAGAACCTTGGCCCTGTCAGGCAGAGGATCACTGGCAGCAGCACAGCCCCACCTCTGCCTCTCAAGCCCTACGAAAGATGAAGGCTTGTGATAGTCATTTCCCAATATAAACATGTATCAAATCATCACATTGTTCACCTTAAACCTACACATGTTCTATGTGATTATTACCTCTATAAAGCTGGAAAAAGCAAAAAAAAAGACAACAGTGAAGCTCCACCTGGCCTGTCTCCCTCTGGAGACCTTCCTAGGCCTTGACAGGCTGTCCTCCCCAAGCAGCCCCACCCTGCCTTTCCCAGGCCCCAACCCTCCCCTCTCTGTGGCTGTGGCATTGCCCTCCCCAGAACTGGCACCTCTGTGTTAGGGGATACAGAGAGCAACTATCTTGCATAACTGAAAAAAAATGCCAGAGGTGCTTAAATTTAAATAAGTCATTTAAAGCTGTTAATTGCCCCACAGAGAGAGTTTTAATATAAAATACATGGGAGCAATACCTGGTTAAGACAGTAGACAAATGGAGGCCCTGAGAAAACCCTCACTGAAATTCCATTTACAGGTCTTAAAAAGCATACACAGGGACTTCCCTGGTGGCACAGTGGTTAAGAATCCGCCTGCCAAGGCAGCAGACATGGGTTCGAGCCCTGGCCTGGGAAGATCCCACATGCCACAGAGCAACTAAGTCTGTGCGCCACAACTACTGAGCCCATGTGCCACAACTACTGAGCCCGTGCGCCTAGAGCCCGTGCTCTGCAACAAGAGAAGCCACCGCAATGAGAAGCCCATGCACTGCAACAAAGAGTAGCCCCCGCTCGCTGCAACTAGAGAAAGCCCGCACACAGCAATGAAGACCCAACACAGCCAATAAATAAATAAATAAATAAATAAACATATACACACGCGCGCACACATATTTTTTTGGCCATGCTGCTCGGCATGTGGGATCTTAGTTCCCCAACCAGGGATTGAACCTGTGCCCCCTGCAGTGGAAGTGCAGAGTCCTAACCACTGGGCCGCCAGGGAGTTCCAAAACAAGCATATTTAAAAATAATTTATGTGCCCACCATATTGCAAATCAACTATACTTCAATTAAAAAAAAAAAGAATGTAAAAAAAATTTATGTGCCCAGGAATTTTCACGCCTGAGACTGACAGTCCCTGAACCACCTGTCTAGGCCAGAACCAGGACCCTGCCAGCTCAGGCCCACCATCCCCCACCCACCCTCACTCTGGTCCCTCAGCCCTGAGACGCTCTCTCTGCAGAGAGCTTATCCCTGCCAGCTGGGCCGGGTCTGCTCAGGCCAGTTTCCTCAATCAAAGGCCAACAGGCACTTCCTGGGCCTTCCATGGGCAGTGGTAATGACAATTCCTGCCTTCCCCCATCACCATCGCTACACACACACACCCTCTGGCTAGAGCCTAGATGGTCCCACCATCTCGCAGGAAGCATGAGACACCTCCTTTCCCTGAGTGAGCAAACAAAGAAATCAACAGAGGGCCTTTAAAGCCATTCTGCAGAGGATGTCACCTCCTGGAGATGAGAAGGGCCAGGCTGAGATAAGCAGAGCTGCTTACAAACCGAACACAGAGACAAATTAAGACCTTTATTGGAGGCAATAAAATGCAGACCAGTGGAGTGAGAAACAAGATGTCTCCCTTCCTAATCACTGCAGAAGGTAAAAGAAATCACCAGCTATGGCTCAAAAGAAAGGAAATGCAGAAAACACAAAACAAGATGACAAGAGGCCACCCGAAATGATTAGGACAATAAACGTAAGCATTTACCATACCCTTGTTAGAAGACAAAGGTTCCCAGATTAAATTAATACAAGAGACTCACCTAAAATAAAATGATTCCAGGGTAGACAAAGCTATACTAGGTAAATGCAAACAAAAGAAAAAGCGTGAGTGGCTCTGTCAGACAAAGCACAATTTAAGGCAATAAGCAGCGTCAAGCAGGATAAAAAGGGTAATTTTATATTCATAGGAGCATTTGTGAAAGCATAAGTGTTCTGAACATTTGTACACTCAGTATTTTAGCATCAAAATACTTGAGGCAAAACCCGTTACCATTAAAAATACAAGATGAAGACAGCTGTGGGCATAAATTTACACACTACTCTCAGTACCTGACGTTAAGTAGCCAAAATATATATAACAGAAAGCAGTAATATAATGAAGACGATTGAATTAAAAGGTGGGTGCTGAACTCTGTACCAGTCTGAATGATGTTTGCCATATTTTAAAAGACCAATCCTAGATCAGTGCTTGTAGTATAAATGTTAAATTGTGTGCAAATTTATAAATACAGTATAATTGCAATTTAAAAAACTCTAAACCACTGAAAACCCACTGAAAGCCACTGAAAGAAAGTATACCAAAATGTCAACATTTGGTGTGTTTAGAAAGGGTGGAAATTAAGTATTTAAAATTTTGCTTTCCACTTTTTCTTCCAAATGTTCTTTAATGATCATATAATAATCTATGACCATGTGGGAAAAAAAAAGGGTAAGACTCATCCCACAGCATAGGATTTATAATTTCCAAGATTGGGGTAAAATTTAACAAACAAAAGCAGCAAAGAGGAATCCCAGCAGGCTCCACACAGCCTGGGCCTCTTGGCTTCAACAGGCCCTCCTGGTCACTCCCTCCTTGAAACCCTCTGCTTCTTTGCCCTGGGGCACTGTGTTTCCCCAACTCAGCTCCCATCTCTTCTACTGTGCCTTTCAACCCTTCCACCGTCTACTGGCGGCTCAAGCATGGTTGCCCCAAGACAGATCCCAGTCTTTCCCCAGGTGCCCACACCCCTGCTGACCTCACCTACTCTTGTAGAGGGATGTAGCTCCCCTCTATATGCCAAGGACTCCCAAATTCATCCCTAGCTCCAAACTCATCTCAAAGTTTCAAGGGTGTACACCAGCCTGCAGACTGGATGTCACCCCATACATGGGGGGCAGGCATGGTGGACATGCCTTCAGAGGAAACTGTCACTGAAGCCCCTCTGAACACATGATGGTCGGGCGCAGGGATTGAGTGTGAAGCAGCGATGCCCCAAGGGGTGGACATGAGAGCATTTCATCATCCACAGTCAGATGTAGAAGAAGGTTCCCATGAAAGAATCAGAATAAATCATCACCTTGAGCAAGGCCCTCTCTAGGCCATTTGAAAACAAAACCTATGGCTCTGACTCATCGGACTATGAATTATGGTTGTAGCAGTAATCAAGAAAAACAATAAAGTCAAATTTAAAAAACCAGGCCCTGGCTTCCCTGGCCCTTGGAGTGCTCACCCCAGGTTCCTCAAATTCTCTTCTGCCCACCACACACATCTAGCCACCAGTTCAATGCACAGATCCTGGTCTAGCACTGAGATTTGCTGGTCAGTGGTTTCTGGTCTGGACTCCTGACTTTTCCAGGCAGAGTAGAAAGTCTCTAAATACCCTAGTCTTTAATCTGCCAGCAAAAGGAGTGAGGATGAGATCAGGTTGTTAGCCCACTGATGTGGTATGTTAATTTAACGGTACAGTTTCTTTTGAAAATGACCAAAATAACTTAAGTACTAATTCTAAATATACATGCTTATCAATTTCAGCTCTAAGTATATACTCTCAATGGAAAGTAAATTACCTTAAGAGAGACTTTCTAAAATTATTCCATATAATTTCTCTTGCATTCCTAGGTCTGGATTGCTATCCAGTTACCATTCTATTTTGAAAGGCAAAGATGCATGAGATCCCTTTTTAGAAAAAGGGTTACATGAAATACTATGCAGCTACCTGATTTTGGAGAAGAGATACTGAGAAGTCACCTCTAGTGAATCATTTAACTTTTCTAATTCACAAACTCTTCTTAATCATGAAAAGAATCATCTCTACTGTAAAACACTGTTATAAAGGGACTCACGTTTCCTTATTTAAAGTGCCCAGTACAGTGTCTGTCTTGAAGCAGGAGCTCAGTAAACAGCAGTTATTCTTCTTCTCATATCAGTGGTTTTTAGCCTGCCCGCCCCAGCCCATGAACATGATGGATGGGAGTCCCATCCCACTGTTCCCATAAGTGCAGCTCTACCTCCACATCCTTTCTCTTCCTACTCTAGAAACATCAGAAGGCACGTGACTGAAATGGAAGTGATGATAGGAAAAGCCCCCAGAATCTCTGCTTGTTTGTTTTTTCGGTAAATTAGTTCCAAACTTTATTAGTTTATCATCAGTAACAAATAATTGGGGATGCACCAATGTCTCAAAGATAAGTCCCTATTACTTGAGAACCTAGTTTCTCAGAACCAGGCATATCATAACGTTCCTGGGGATCAGAAGCCCTAACATCCCCCCTCATCACGTGAGACCTGGGGGTCTGTCTCCTTGCCCCAGCCAGACTCTCAAGCCACTGGATATCTAGGGCCACATTTCCTTACTCCCTTAAACCTTGTCCTCTCCCCTATGCCACGGTTCCTTGCCTTTAACTGACAGTTAATACATGTTTCATGAATAAACGCATCTGAAATCTGGCCCCACTTTTGCACATCCCAGCACTGGGACTGCCAAATGTGTGTTATGAGCCAAAATCAGGTCAGGTGACCTGGCTTTCAGCAATAGTGGCACAGAAGACAAGTGATTAAATAATGCATGTCTATCCACTTG